ATGGGTAGTTAGAAGCCACATAGGGCAAGTGCCTTTAGGGCCATCCTATGCCTTACTAAATGCAAAGTGTTTGAAAAAAAAAAAATCTAAAACATTAGGTAGTTGGGTTTAAGATAATGATGGCCAAAAGGGAAAATGAAAAGGAAATGGGTAATTAGGTTTAAGACAAACAGAATCAATTCCAAACACGGACATTGTTTCCCTATTCCAACCAAATCCTTCCATGACACTAATGTCACCGACGCAATGATGTTTTTAATTTAAATTTGAATAGAATAAAAAGAAATGAAATTGTGGGCATCACGTGGAAAAGGAAGAAGAGAGGCAAAGGAGACTCCCATAAAAGGAGGAAACATGATTGAGGACACCAAATAGGGCAAGAGCATACGATAATATAATGTTATAATGATGATGGTAAGGAAGGATTATTATTTAATAATGACGCCCACTCCTCCCCAAACCAAATCCAAGAAAAAAAGGGCAAGAAAAACTTAAACTTTAAATTATTGAGCAAGTAGCTAGGTGTTTTGATTTTCAACCTTTATGTACAGAGCATACTTCCTCTATTTCTTTTCACAATAATGTGTTGAAGATATTTTTCACGTAGATTAAAAAGATTGTTTTGTAACTTTGTTTGTTAAAAACATTTCAATTTCAATTTTTCACGTAGTCAATAAATTAAAAATATGAGAAAATACTGTGCTATTTGGACAAGTCATCATGCGTGCCTTCTCAAGTTTCAAAAATATCATTAAAACTAGAAGATAAAATCAAAACATTTGTTTCATATTTGGATAAACAAGCAAATTACTCCTATATTTTAGGTCAAATAATACCATAAACTTTAAATTTATTTATTGTGTAAATTATTCTTTCAATTTTTAAAAACAGTACAATCATATCCCTACCATTAATACAGGTTAATTTTAACCATTAATTGATTGAAAAATGATATAAAAAGACATCAAAAATTACAAAACAAGGACAAAAATTAGAATAAATGATCCAAAAATTATAGACAATGACACAAAAAATTACAGAAAATGACCATAAAAATTTTGATCCTTTTCTATAATTTTTAAGGTCCTTTTTTATCATTTTTTTTTAAAACTAACTGTTAAAATTAACTTTTATTAATGGTAGGGGTCATATTGTGCCATTTTTAAAAGTTGAGAGAACAATGTATATGATAAATAAGTTTAAAATCTATGGTTCTACTAAACTTAAAATTTAGGGGGTAATTTTCTCATTTATCCGTCATATTTTTGTAAGACATATTATAATATAATTGAAATTTCTTTTTTCTTTTTGTAGAACACTTTAATTATTAAAGGGAGCACTTGGTTAGATGGGTCTGTAGCCTATCATTATCTCTCACTATTCTAAAAGAGAAATTAGTTGATATTTATGTTCATAAGCAAAAATGAGGGGGGGGGGGAAGAATGACACTTTCTTTAACCCTTTCACACTCTTTATTCTAGGTTGTTTGAGTTGCCGTGTCTGGCACAAAAAGTTGTTGTGAGGCTTTTATTTTCTTTTTTTAAATTCTTTTTTTGGGAAAAAATTGGAAGATGGATTCCAGAAGGCTCGTGGGACTTGTTGTGTGTGTGATGTGATCTGAATTTGGATGCTTTTGGGACCTATGGGCCTTCTGCGTTGGGAACACTTATCATTCTCTCTGCGATCTCTTTCTGGCTTTCTGCAACATCCCACATGCCAGGGGGCTGTTCATCTCATCGTGACTCCTAATCCCATGTTGTTTCTCCTTTTATTCACACCCTTTTCCCTAATTCTAACAAATATATAACAAAAATTGGTCAAAAAACAAATATAAAATAACTTACGTGTAACAATGAGGATAAGTAAAGTTCTATTTTTTAGGCCTTTTTTTTTTACACCAGTAAAAGCAGACAAGACATAATTTTTATTATTTTTTAATTAAAGTGCTCGTTCACCTCACTTTTTTTCTCAAGTACACTAGCATAATGTAACTTATAAATTAAAAAAAGAACGATATTTGTTTAAATAAAGTACTGATTTGAGATATTTTCAACATTAATGTAAAGTGAATTCAATATTCAATAGAGAACATCTATTGAAAACAATGTGAATGGCCAAGGAATAAGGAAATCCACTGAAGAAGAAAGTTGTTGCGGCTTCACCAGGTTTAAAGTGGCCAATCATGGAAAGTATAAAAATTATAGGCAATGAACTTTAAAAGACGGATTTTGTACTACTTGAAATAAGTTGTATGACATTGAAGTAAATATGCATGTTACGTCCGAATGTTTCCCTGGAGCTAGAGGAGGTGCTAACAAAGGAAGATGCTTCATAGCATTAGACAGAGGAGAGGGCCACAACACCGATCCAACTTGAGAAAGCAAGTAACCATGACATTTTTGTAAGCCTGTTAAAGGAAATTACAGCTTTTCTATGGAGATTCCACAAATGTTGTTTTGTATCTTCATGCAATGTAACTTCAAAAGTTGTATATTTTAGAGTTTTTATTGGTTAAACTACAAAATCCCAAAAAGGGTTACCAATTGGTTTGTCCTCTTGAATATACAAATTTTAATATTTTAATAGTGATGATGTTACAATGATTCTCCTCCTTATGTCACCTCCTCAGATTCAAAACTAACTACCAAAAAGTTAACAAATAACTTTACGAAGACCTACAGGTTTCCTTAATTTCTCAAGTGAGTGTGTGTGTATTAACAAGTACAAAAATCCATAAATAATTATCTTGAGCCTTACAACTGATACCCATATATTCACAATTAAATCTTTAGTATATCTCGAGTGGCTTTACCAAATTTCACAAGAATTGACCAACCAAAAATTTACATAATGGTTTTGAGATTCACAACTCACTATCCAAAGATTCAAAATTTTACAAATAATCACAAGTAGTTTTCCTTAATTTTCCAAGCATGTGTGTATATATATGTATGTATGTATGTATTAATAAGTACATAAATTCACAAGTGATTATCCTAAGATTTACAACTAAAGGGGATAATACAGGTGTGGCAAGCTTATTTAGGCCAACTTAATAAACTCAAACTTAAAAAAAATATATATAATCAAGCCTAGCCCTAACACTCACAGGCTTCGGGGCTTATTCAAGTTAGCCCTAAATATTTGCAATGTCTCTTTTTCATTTTTTTAAACAAATTATTTTGACATTAAAATTAATAATTTTTATTATTATAAGAAAAATATAATATATATACACTACTATTTTTGAATACCTAAAGCATGTAGAAGTCAAAATATTTTTAAAAAAATTTAGGGCTTAAAATTTGAAAGTCTAGGTTAAAATACATTTTAAATATTATTTTGACATATTTTATAGATTAAAAAAAATATAATAATATTAATTAATTTTTAGCTTTTTAAGATAATTATATAATATTAATAATAATGTAGTCAAATATGTGGCCTCTCAATATAAAATGAACTAGGACTAAAAAGATTAATTAATATTTTATATATTTTATAAAAAAAATTAAAATGTTACTTGAGTACTCAAGCCAAACCAAAGCCCAATTGGGCTTGACCGAGTAGGCCGAAATATTAAAAATAATTTTAAACACTTCAACACGCAAAAGTAATGTTATGGTATGGGAAGCCAGAAAAAAAAAATTAAGTACTAAAAACTGGACATTGCGGATTAGATGCAAACACACTTAGGTTCACATTCAAAAATCATAATTAATTGAGATCCCAAACTAAAGCTTTCAGAAACCATTTTAAATAAGTTAGGAATATCTCTTATGCACAGCGGAAGCATAAGGTTTGAATATTGAGCTCACCAAAAGAAAATAGGCAAAAAGAAAATTTTTAATCAGATTGAGTTATATGTCGCGACATGTGTCACATGCACCATAGCATGTGGTACAAAGTCACATTTTTTCATTCTGATATGCATTGTGGCATGTCCATCATGCGCTATAGTGCACATATTACATTTTGCTATCAAACAACACATCCAATACAAACTTTCGACATGCGCTAGTTTTGTAACATTTTAAATTCCTAGTTCTAAGACTAATTGATAATTAATGGTAAATTAATAAAATAATGTGTGATTAAAATTTTAGATGATGAGATGATGTTTTGACTCTTTGAGGTATTGAATAAATAGAATTGAGTGGAAGAATGACATTGCAGAGCAAAGTGTACAAGCATGGTGAGAATTTTTCTCACTATACCACACACCACAGTACAAGTTGCATGCGCCACGGCATAAGGCACAGAAAATTAGTTGATAATTATAGGTGCAAATATAAACACTTTTGAGTCTACTCATATTTAATTTAACTAAAATTTACTTATATTTAATAAGTTATAAAATTATAATTTATATTTTTCTTATATTTATTTTTATATATACATTTAATATTATTTTATTTAATATTATTATATTTTTATTTTTATTTAATTTTATAATTTTTAAATGATGAGGGCAACATTGCTCTTCTGGGAATAGTTTAGGAGTAAAATTGCATCTTAACTCATGAAAAGTGTGTTTTACTAGCTACAATAACAGACGTTTAAATGGCAGGGGCAACATTTTTTAGATTTGATTAGTTTAGAGGTAACATTGCTCTTTCATGAATAGTTTAAGTATAAAATTGCTCCTTAACCCATCACCATAACAAATTTTTACTGATAACTATATATAAAAATTATTTATAAGTATTCTAAATTCTTATATATTATAGAGAGATAAGTGTAGAGTACTCCCTCCGATCCAGATTATAAGTCTCCTTCTAGAAGGAAAATATGGTCACATTATCAGTCGCTTGGGTCAAGATTGTGCGTATTTTAAAACAAAATTCCCAAAATGCCCATCTCTTTCTCTCTTTGAGTCTCTCTTTACCATGCATACTCTCTCTTTCGCTCATTTCCTCATCGTCTTCGGTCTCTCTTTGTCAATTGCCTCTCTACCGTCGAGCTCATCGTCCTCTGTTGCAGTTCCTCATTCGTTGTAGCTTGCGCAAGTCTTGGCGATCAATTTGTGGTCTGAGATGTCACTGGATGCTCGTCAACCAAGTCCGATAGAAGAGCGTTTTAAGGGTCTGTGGCCTCTCAACTTCTTTGGAGAAGTAACCTCTCTGAATCGAAAGATTTTGAGGGCACCTCATCTGAGCAATTCTTCCCTTGCATCTTCTTACTTAGAGGACGTCGTGCGTGAGAAGAAGTTGCACTCGTTTGACTTGGATAGAGGCAACTGAGAATGTTGAAGAAGTGAGCAGCAGCGATGCAACAAAAATGGCAACTCAATTCTTGGGTTTGGGAAAGCAAGTAAAAAGAAGAAGATTGTCCACCCATTCAACCTAAACAAGTTTTCATTTCTAGAGGAAGACTATGAACATCGAACTAAGAAAGAGAAGGACCATAAGCGATTTGTGTATGACATTTTGCATTATATGCTTTGATTAGTCTCAAATTTCTATGCCTTTTGTGTAATTTTGGTTAGTCTAGAATTTAAGCTTAGGCCAATCAATGATGGATGTTAAGCTTATGGTTTATTAGTCTGATAGATGATGATATTCGAGATGATGATATTCTAGTTTGTTAATCCACTTATATTCTGTGCACCTCTCTATTATGTTCTATTCTGTTCTATTGCAATGCATGTTTTCTATTTTAATGAGAAATGGATCTTGTGTTGGAATCTTATAAGAGAGAGATCAGGCCATGATGTCGCCCTTCAATGTTGATTATTGATTTTTGTTATGTTCTGTAAACATAAAAAGAACCTATATGTATAACAACTGAAATATTGGAATCTTATATGATCTCTGTTTATGACTTTTATATCTTAGGTTCTGATTATTGATTTGAATGATTTCTTGGTTTGAACTTCAATGTGATGGACAAAAAATCATTCATTAAATAACAGCCAACTTTTTTTTTTACAAAACTTCTTACTATTGAGAACCTAAAGGGTGAATGAATGAACAAATGAGAACTTATCACACACTAAATACTCACTTTGTTTCTTCTGTATTGCAGAGTGTACTACTTTATTCCTTCCCTATTAGAAGACAACTTGAACTAGGAAATGAGATTTGGTGTCTTCAAATATTGCATTAAATTTTGGAAATACCAACTTGGACTAGTATGGTTATTGTACCTTATAAATTCATGAGCATTAGCTAAAGCTCTTGAATTTTAGTTCCTTTTACTAATTCATAGTAGCATTTGGCTTCAGTCTGTTAGGTGAGCATGTGGTTTCTCTTCATCTAGTGAACTTTCATGTGCCTGGATAATTTAAAGCTTTTAAACAATTTTTTAACATGTATAATACCTTATGCTGATTTTAAAGTATTTTTTTCTTTATGCATTTCAAGTATCTAATTTCAAAACCTTTTTCTGCTTGGGTAATTCAAAATAGAATATTAGAAAAAAAAATTTCTTGAATAAAAGCTTAGGTAATTTAGTACATTCCCTTTTATCTTTTTGTACATGGTCAAAATCAAAGAGCTTTAAGTAGAATTTGGATTGATTCTTTGCCTTAATGTCCAAATGGTCCTAGGCAATGTGATACAATACATATATAGGTTGCAATTTTCCATTATTAATATTATGTGTTGCAATTTACATGACAAATTTTAACACAAAATATTAATGACCAAAATATAGAGGGTCCACAAAAATATCCACCCCTTAATCTCGATCATCCATCCACTTATGCTAAGTGCTCCATTACTTTTTCAACTAGGTAGAGATCAAATTTAAGTTGATTAGGCAATTCCCCTCTTCTTTCCATAACATCCTTCTACAAATGGCTTTGCTTATACTTGTTTGAACCTTTGTCCTTCATAATATCAATCATAATAGCTTGTAATGTTATGAAGATCCTATTTAATTGCATAAATATGTAAGCTTCAAATGACTTCTTCACAGCTTTGACAAGGTCATCTATAGTTTTAGGTGCTTCTTAGTGTTGTAGTGCTTGAAGTGCTCTAAAATAACCAAGATCCAATATGTTTGAATCAGGGGAATTTAGGGGTTGAGAAATCAAGCGAATGTCAAACCCACCCTCACTTGCTGCCAAACGAAAATCCACATCATTGTCATCAATGTAACAAGGAGCATTATCTTATTAAACAAAAATAGTTTCACTTATATGACTTGCTGGCCATTTGACTTTGATTGTTGGTAATATTTTGTCAATTAAGAAAGATTTCATCACTTCTTTTGTAATGGAAGTGCTTGGTTTTGTTTCCATTGTGCCTCTGCTTCTATTCATACTCCTTCTGCTTACTTCCTCTTTTGTTACAAATGAAAACAACCCAATCTTCCCAGAGAAAATTTCATTTCCTTGTGCATCAAATCTAGGTCTAACCACAGTAACTAGGAACATAACCTTACTAACATAATTCTTATTTTTATATGTTTGATGTGGTGGCTCCTCCCCTACTGCCAAGTAGTAGGTCTAGGATTTCTTTGCCATATAAAATTATTTTTTATCAATATGGATTATCTTGTGCATAGATTGAAAAGTTAGGTCATTTGGTATGCTTTCTTGTTCTAAAATGGACAAGCACCACCTCAATCAAGCAAGCATGTTTTGCTCCTTCAAATGTGGTTTGATTGCACTTTTTTCTTAAACCTGATCAATGATGTCTTGTTAACCCCCAATGCACTTGTAAGAGACCTATAAGTAGTCTATTGATGTATAGGAAATGCCATGAGTTGTTGCATATTCACATCAGGTGCCTTTCTCCCACACCTGTTTGTCTTTATATGACTTGCATCCCCTGTTTCCTTAACTTGGCGCCAAATGCATTGAATGATGATAAATTACATATTCTGCACACTTTTCTTTTATATTTGTGACCATATTTTATTAGTTTAGACCCTTGTATGCATGGTTTTAGCATTAGATTTAATCTTCAATACATTTGCATTAAGTTTTGGCATTAGGGGCATTTTAGTCATTTTGCATAATTTATTGGAATTAATTCTTTTTAATTTAGAATTTCAATTCCTTGACACATGTTATTATTTGGACAATTTTTATCCTCATTTTTAGAACTTTAGTTAGTTCAATTAAATAAGATTGATTTTTGTTTTGTTTGTTTTGTGTTTTAAGAAAGTTGTGGGCCAAATATGGTGATTTTTTCTTTTTTTTCAAATTAGCTTTGACTTTTCAAAAGTAGAAGGAGAGCTAGAATGTGAGGAGAAGAAATATATGTGAATGGGGGAATGCTGGAGCTAGTTTTCAAACGACACACATGACTGATCTCTCACGGAGTCTAAGTTCAGTCAGAGAGACGATCACCATTTCATCTTCGAGAATGCTCACTCATCTCCTCTTGTCTTCATCTCTCTTGGTCAGAGGCTCACCGCTCATGCACGCATAGGACTCATCTCCTCTCAGTCAAGTTTGGCCATCAAAGTTCGCATTGTTATCACCACACGCCACCGTCCACAACCTCTAGCTCAGTTCATCTCCTTTCAATCTTAAGCTCATTTGACACACACATCAGAGTTCATTGTACAGCTTACCTTTTCTCGGTCACAGATTCATTACTCATCTCCTTCAGTTTCAGCCGTTGCACACTAGCATAGATCCATTCCTTCGAAGCATTCATCCATGGCAACTACTTGTGACTCTCTCCTTCAATCAATAGTTATGGAGAGTGAAATGAGAAGCTAAATCTTCAAGAATTCTCCAAGATGATGAAATTTCACTTGAGCTTCATATACACTTGGCTTCAGTTTTGTTACAACTTAAATCTAATTCTAATTCTTGTTATGATTTTGAATTTGATTCATTGACTCTGGTTAGATTGACTGAATTAATTTGATATCATTGATCTTGTTGAGGATCAGATTATTTTGGTTACATTTTCTATTGAATTCGTTCATTTATCTTGCTCTAACATTTAGAATAATTAAATTTAGACAATCAACCCCTCTTTTAAAGCATAAACTCAAACACTTGAGGTGCACAAATTCAATAGAAAATGTAACCAAAATAATATGATCCTCAACAAGATAAATGATATTAAATTAATTCAATCAATCTAACTAGTGTCAATGAATTAAATTTAAAATTATAACAAGAATTAGAATCAGGTTTAAGCTACAACAAAATCGAAACCAAGAGAATATGAAGCTCAAGTGGAATTTCATCATCTTGGAGAATCCTTAAAGATTTAGCCTCTCTTTTTACTCTCCATAGCTACTGATTGAAGGAGAGGTCCTTGAAAAACTGCCATGAATGAGCTGAACTGTAGGTGAGTAACCAAATTGGAAACTGAGAGAATGAGCATCTAATGTGTTAGATGGCCAACCTGTACGATGAACTCTGGTGTGTCAAATAAGCTTAAGATTGAAAGGAGACGAACTAAACTAGAGACTGTGAACTATGGCGTGTGGCGAGCTCTCAGAAAAGATAAGCGATCGAGTGCATGTGACAGGCAGTGCATCTTCGATGGCCGAGCCAAGATAAGAAGAAGACGAATGCTTCCATTCGTTCTTCATAATTAAGAAAAGCTGAGCAATGACTGTGTGTGACAGACTGAGCTCAAGGGAAGCAATGCAGTGACTGAGCGGTGGTGATGGTGCGATCTCTCTCTGACCATATTCGGACTCTATGAGAGATTAGCGGTTGCATGTGCATCGTTTCCAAAAATCCTAACCCCAGCGTTCCTGCCATTCACATCTATTTCGTCTCCCTCCTGTTCTAGCTCTCACTTTCTACTTTTGAAAAGTTAAAGCTGATTTAAAAAAGAAAAAAGAGAAAATCACCACATTTGGCCCATAACTTTCTTAAAACACAAAACAAACAAAAAAATTAATCTTATTTAATTGAACTAACTAAAGTCCTAAAAATAAGAATAAAAATTGCCCAACTAATAAAATCTATCAAGGAATTAAAATTCTAAACTAAAAAGAATTAATTTCAATAAATTGTGCAAAATGATCTAAATGCCCTAATGCCAAAACTCAATGCAAATGAGCTGAAGATCAAATCTAATGCTAAAACCATGCATATAAGGGTCTAAACTAATAAATATGGTCACAAATGCAAAATATGTGATTTATCAAATTCCCTCACGCTTAGCTTTTGTACTCTGAGCAAAATCTCAACTCAAAAACAACTTGTCAAGGATCCTCAAGTTACAAATCAAAGATCTCTTCACAATAACTCAAGAATTGTTGCTGTTCTAATTAAAGCACTCTATCCATCACAAATAAACCATTAGAAAAGTCT